AGACTCCGTCCCATTAACATCAGAACACTAGGAGGTGACACACTTATTAAGAAAAATGAGTTTATAGCGTTATCTATCTATAATAATATAAAGTAACAAGTAAGGTGTGACACCTTTGCTTTTCCCTCCAATTAGACATTTAATGCTTCATACCTATTAAAAAATAAGAGTTACATGAATATTGGAGTAATTGGAATATTTTCAATTCAAAATAATCTATAATGATGATGATGATGATAATAATGATAGATAATCTATAATATAATAATATAAAGTAACAAGGTGTGACACATTGCTTTTCCTTCCAATTAGACATTTAATGCTTCATACCTATTAAAAAATAAGAGTTACATGAATATTGGAGTAGTTGGAATATTTTCAATTCAAAATAATCTATAATGATGATGATGATGATAGATAATAATTATTTGTATTATAATATAATAATACTTGTTACATAATTTGGCAGGACTTCACTTAACGCAAAGAAATAAATCAGAACGTTTACAATATCTATCTGTCTATAATAATATAAAGTAACAAGGTGTGACACCTTGCTTTTCCCTCCAATTAGACATTTAGTGATTCATACCTATTAAAAATAAGAGTTACATGAATATTGGAGTAATTGGAATCAGGGGCGGATCTGGCTCTAGGCCAGGGAGGGCCTAGGCCCAACCTGAAAAAAATAAAATTACTATTATATATATATATATTTATATATATATATATATATATATATATATATATGTATTATATAATATATATTGTTGTTATGCAATGGTATGATTGAAAAGAAAGCGAATTTTCCAACAGATATGGTGTTGGTAAGTTGGAAGTAGAGTCGTACCACCTTTCGTATAACCTGAAGGTCAGGTGTTCAAAGTCCACTTAGAGCTCTTTTTTTTTTAACTTTTCAAAGGGATACCAGGATACCAAGTGTGTAAAAATTGCAGTTTTCTTTTCTAAAATCTCTTTCTCCACCCGGAAAGAATAAAAGGATTTAGTGAATGTCATAGATACTTATATTGTGAACGCTTTTGGGCTTTTAAATATTAGTATGAAAAATCAATTTGTTCAATTTATTGATATTGTAGGTGAAAATTAGTTCAATAGGTATGGGCTTGAGGTTTTTTTTTTCTAATCGACAAAAATTCTGATTCCTGTTATATTTTTTTGAACGATTATTCTTGTTATATTTATTTGCAATCAATTTTATTTTATGCCTACATATTTTTTGTTAAATGACATACTAGTACTATTTTACTACATTTTGACATTTTTTACAATGTATGTTGTTTAATTAAATTTTGGCCCCTGCTGAATGTCAATGCTAGATCCGCCCCTGATTGGAATATTTTCAATTCAAAATAATCTATAATGATGATGATGATAATGATAGATAATCTATAATAATAATATAAAGTAACAAGGTGTGACACCTTTCTTTTCCTTCCACTTAAACATTTAATGCTTCATACCCATTAAAAAATAAGAGTTACATGAATATTGGAGTAATTGGAATATTTTCAATTCAAAATAATCTATAATGATGATGATGATAGATAATAATATTTATTTTTATTATAATAAAATAATAGTGATACATAATTGGCAGGACTTCACTTAACGCAAAGAAATAAATCAGAATGTTTACAATATCTATAATAATCTATCTATCTATAATAATATAAAGTAACAAGGTGTGACACCTTGCTTTTCCCTCCAATTAGACATTTAATGCTTCATACCTATTAAAAAATAAGAGTTACATGAATATCTATCTATAATAATATAAAGTAACAAGGTGTGACACCTTGCTTTTCCCTCCAATTAGACATTTAATGCTTCATACCTATTAAAAAATAAGAGTTACATGAATATTGGAGTAATTGGAATATTTTCAATTCAAAATAATCTATAATGATTATGATGATGATGATAGATAATCTATAATAATAATAATATAAAGTAGCAAGGCGTGGCACCTTGCTTTTCCTTCCAATTAGACATTTAATGCTTCATATCCATTAAAAAAATAAGAGTTACATGAATATTGGAGTAATTGGAATATTTTCAATTCAAAATAATCTATAATGATGATGATGATAGATAATAATTATTATTATTTTTATTGTAATTAATATAATAATAGTGATACATAATTGGCAGGACTTCACTTAACGCAAAGAAATAAATCAGAACGTTTACAATATCTATAATAATCTATCTATAATAATATAAAGTAACAAGGTGTGACACCTTGCTTTTCCCTCTAATTAGACATTTAATGCTTCATACCTATTAAAAAATAAGAGTTAAGTGAATATCTATAATAATATAAAGTAACAAGGTGTGGCACCTTGCTTTTCCCTCTAATTAGACATTTAATGCTTCATACCTATTAAAAAAATAAGAGTTACATGAATATTGGAGTAATTGGAATATTTTCAATTCAAAATAATCTATGATGATGATGATGATGATGATAGATAATCTATAATAATAATATAAAGTAGCAAGGCGTGGCACCTTGCTTTTCCTTCCAATTAGACATTTAATGTTTCATATCCATTAAAAAAAATAAGAGTTACATTAATATTGGAGTAATTGGAATATTTTCAATTCAAAATAATCTATAATGATGATGATAGATAATAATTATTATTATTTTTATTATAATTAATATAATAATAGTGATACATAATTGGCAGAACTTCACTTAATGCAAAGAAATAAATCAGAACGTTTACAATATCTATAATAATCTATCTATAATAATATAAAGTAACAAGGTGTGACACCTTGCTTTTCCCTCTAATTAGACATTTAATTTAATGCTTCATACCTATTAAAAAATAAGAGTTAAGTGAATATTGGAGTAATTGGAATATTTTCAATTCAAAATAATCTATGATGATGATGATGATAGATAATAATTATTATTATTAAAATATAATAATAGTGATACATAATTGGCGGGACTTCACTTAGCGCAAAGAAAAAAATCAGAACGTTTATAATATTTTGATTTAAATGTTTTCAATTATAAGCTAGACCACACCAGATTAAAAGAAACTACACCAAATCAGATCAAATTTAAATACAATAGACTTGATCAAATCAAAATAAGTTAGTAAAATATACATACATCCGACACTTACCAGACCAGACCAGTTTAGGTCATCAGACCAAACTTAAGCGGACCCGATCATAAAACTTTAGTCTAATTAAAAACATCATTGTTATTGTCTTGCAGTACAGTAATAGTTATATTATTAATAACAATAGTCTTCTATAATAATATAAAATAACAAGGTGTAGCTTGCGTTGTCATATTTAATGATTTCATACATATTTTCTCTAAACAATAATGTGTAAATTAATAGTTAGCAATTAGTAATTATAATGTGAAAATTTTGGTTTTTAATGTTATACTATCAATTAATGTTTTTGCTTATTGGATGTTTACAAAAGATTGATCGGTAACATTTTTAGCATTCCTCAATTGCATGAATCCTTTGTTATTACTCCCTCCGTCCCGCTAAGATTGTCCCATTTTTCCTTTTCAGAGAGTCCCACTAAGTTTGTCTCATACCAATATTTATAAACACAAATACGTAACAAAATATTTATATATCTAATGAAATGTATTTTTATTATTATGAAGTGATCCCAACTTTATCCAACTTTGTGCTTTGAAAAATTCATTCCAAATTTTTAACATATGTAAATCCGAGTTAGTTAAACTATTCATTAGATTTCCACTGTCATCATCTAATGACATGGTTTTTTTTTGAAAACATATAATGACATGGTTAAACATATAACATATGCATCCCGTGCAACGCACGGGTAAAGAATCTAGTTATTGAATTGATAAAGTAAGAATTAAGTCATAATATATTTAGAATCAAACAAACTTTACCAAATTTGGTATTGGAAAATCTTAATGGGATAGACAAAAAAATGAGACAATCTGAGCAGCATGGAGGGAGCATATATTATTATATAATAGCGGTGATTAAATTATGGAATAATAAATTGAACACACTTGCATAATGTAAAGATGAATGAAATATATTGCTAAATTACAAATGAGAATATTCTTAAGCCACTCTTAATGAGGAGAGTTTTATACTGTTAAAAAATTCAAATAAATTGGATATTTTTACGAGATTATTCAAAATAAGAGTAAAAACGTTTCTAAACATTAAAATATGACTATATGTTCTTATTACCAAATGAAAATAATTACTGCCATATTTTGACATCATAATGTTTTAAACATGATAATATTTATTTTCCAAGCATCTTGTGGTTCAATGTCATCACTGACTTCACTGTGACATTCCCAAGCAATGAGGAGTTCACATGTACGAAACTCATCACAACCAAGGATGTTGACATTCAACAGAACATATACTATAAGAACAGAGAAAGTACACTAAAAAACATGATACTACATCCGTCCCAAAATGATTTGCAAATTTGACTTTTCTTGATCAAACAGTTTCATTTCATTTGCTTAATTAGAATGTCAATTTTTAATTATATTCTAATTTGGAGTTTGAAACTTTGAAGAAATTTTAATGTAGTTTCTGAATATGTAAATTTTAATTATTAAAAATTGAGTTAATCATCAATAGAGAGGATTGACTTTTATTATTGGTTGACAAAAAAATGTTGACTTTGCAAATCAATTTAGGGTGGAGGGAGTAATATGTTTCAAACTTCTATTTGTAATAGTTACTTTTATTTATAGAGTAAAATATAGTATTCCACTATTCCTATTTCAGAATTCCAATGTGTTTTTATTGAAATTACTATTTTAGGATTTCCCGCAATATTTTATTGAAATAGTGACCATGCATGAGGTCCATGCTCTCTATACATAACTGTATTTCCTTTAAAGACGATGGTCCATTGTTTACAAAACTATACTTTGACTTTTGAAAATTAAATGAGTGAATTCACGAATGGCTGACACGTGGGTGCAGTTCGTGGAGTACAGCAAGATGATATACTTGGACGGCGACATCCAGGTGTTCCAGAACATTGACCACCTCTTTGACCTGCCGGACGGCCACCTGTACGCCGTCATGGACTGCTTCTGCGAGAAGACGTGGAGTCACACGCGGCAGTTCCAGATCGGATACTGCCAACAGCGCCCGGATAAGGTCGCGTGGACGGAGGATCTCGGCCCTAAGCCGCCGCTTTACTTCAACGCCGGGATGTTTGTGTTTGAGCCCAGTTTGCACACTTATCATGACCTCTTGAAGGCCGTTCAAGTCACTGCTCCCACTCCTTTTGCTGAGCAGGTACACTTTTTGTCCCTTTTAATGGGCCCACTAAATGATTGAATTACTCCTTCCATCCCTATATTATATTCAAACTTTTTTTTTCAAACTTTCTTTTTTCATTCGTCCCAAAATTATCCCATGTTTCCTTTTTTCGCAAAAAAATTGTGGTTTACAACGATTCTTACACATTTATCTCTTTTCTACACAATTTTCCACCACACAAAATCTACTATCTTAATTTGTGTGTCTGGTCATATGTGGAGATAATATAGGGACAAAGGAGTATTCTTTTGTTTTACAAAAAAAGTCCTATTTCTCATATTTCTCCCAAGTAAGTTCTTTGGCTTTAACTTTATAAAATTCCTTTTTATTGAAGGTAAATATAAGGGTGTTGGGAATTGATTCTTGCTTTAAAAAAAAGAAATTAGATTAATTTTTCAGAAGTTGGTCTCCACGGCTTCTAGAAGCAATTTGGAGCACCGAGAGGTGAGAAGTATTTCTACAGTTTCACCCAAACACTCTAATATATGATTAAAATACATACAAATTCTAAAAAATTTACGTAGTACTAAATATGTTTTTCTATGTGAAATAGTCAAAACACTTATTTAGTCCTATTAATGAAATGAAAGAATAACAATTTTCCTTTAAACATTTAAGAGTGTCTCAACCATGTTTTGATTAAAAAAACAATGTGAGGATGTTTTTATTTGGACTGTTTTTAGTTCCAGATCTGATCAGACAAGATTTAAACAGACAAGATCGGACTAGTTCAGATCAAATCAGACCAGACTTTCGTAGTTATAAAATACACAGAGATCATACATTTACGAGACCAGACAAGAATTAAACAGACCAGATCAAATCAGCAATAAAATTTTACGATAAAAGGCAAATTAAATTGTTATGTGCTTTTCTGCCCCTGGTGCGGCCAGCCAGAGGTCAAATCAATGAACTAGTTCTTCACAAACATACTTGACCCTTCAAAAATCTCCCAATGTAGGTGTTTACTACGGAAAAACAGCTAGAAAAGTCCTAGAACTTTTGTTCACGGGAGAATTGATGGAAGTAGAAAATAATTGGATTGTCGGGGAATTTTGGAAGTGATTCACGAAAATTCATAGAAGATTTGGAATGAATTTGCCAAATCAACAGCATTATATTTTGTGATTTTGTCACGAATTATTTGTCGCTAAATCATCGATGAATCCATGTCAATCCCGCTATTTTTGTGTATGTGAATAGGAAATTCTAATCTGAATGAATATATCTATAATAGTTTATGAAGTATGAATTTTTCTCCCCTCACATGGGAAGCAATATAGTGACTAACTCCTCCTTGTTTTTCTTACCATTGTTATATTATTGCAGGACTTCTTAAATGTATATTTCAAAGATGTGTACAAGCCAATTCCTAATGTGTACAACTTGGTGTTAGCCATGTTGTGGCGTCATCCGGAAAATGTGGAGCTTGAGAAGGTGAAAGTAGTACACTATTGTGCAGCAGGATCTAAGCCATGGCGGTATACCGGTAAAGAAGTAAACATGGACAGAGAAGACATCAAAATGCTCGTGAAAATGTGGTGGGATATATACAATGACATGTCCTTAGATTTCAAGAGCGTATCAACCGCTGTTCTCCCCGTTCCCGTCCGGGATCTCGAGGTTGATGACGCCAAATACGCCGTGTCGGCGATGCTTCCTAGTAACGCAATTGTGCATTGCATCACAGCCCCATCTGCTGCGTAGTTAATAGATGTATTACCTCAGCTCCTTGATGAATTATAAATATTTTGAGCTATAATAAATTGTGGTACATGTTGGGTAATGTAATTAAAATCATGGACAATATTTTCAGTTTATCTTGTAATTCTCTTAATTTGTGGGTAATCTGAAGAAATTATATGAATTGTTCCATGCTCTGATCTCTTGCAACATTACATTGTATGGTGTATGCACATATAAACTTGTTAATTTCATTTTCAGGTCATCATGATGTTTAATTAATACGGAATACTAATTTGCTGTTATCTTTAAACTTTAACTAAACTCCTTTCCATATATTGTATTTTAATTAAATTATAGCTTTGAATGAGAAATTAGAGTTCACTCCATGGACACTTATTGCGCAAGGAGTTGAGTAAAAAGTAAAAAATATTTCGTGTCGGGCAGGTGTCGGGCACATATCGTGCATGATTGTATACGAATTAAATAATTTATGTTCTGTTCGAGATTTGAATTCGTATAAAACTATTTACATCCTAATAATTCAAATACAAATAAAAATACTAAGTTTGATTCGAATTACTATCAATAAAAATATTACCATATTCGATTCGAATTCGAATGTTAGCCAATGATATTCGATATAATTTTTCAACTTATATCACACATTATATATGATTTTTAATATGTGTGTGTTAGTACTGTTGTTTTAAAAAATTTGAAATAGATTTATGTATATTAATCATAAAATTGATTCACTTTGGTATATTGTACGTGCACAACAAAAAAATGCATTGATCTATTAAATTTTATAGAAAATTGTAATGTTACTTATTTAATTTTAAAAACGCATATCAAGTCATATCATGCATTTAGAACATAAAAATATGTAAGAAAAATTGTTTTAAAGTGATATGAAGTATTTGATGAATATTTAACTTATGATCAAATCGGTTCAATATTGGTATATGACTCATTTACTCTTCATATTGTTAAACAAATATGAATACAAATCGAAATTAATATTCGCTGCATATTCGAATTCGTATTCACACCTGGAAAAATTAAATAAATATAAACACAAACATCACACTATTCGACTCGATCCGATTTCGTGCATCTACCATTAACTCTCCGTTTAGGTGTGGAAATAATGCTCATTTTTTGTGCACAACATAAATAAATGCTTAAAATAAAAAAATACAAACAATGATTGCCACTAATGGCATAGTAGTTTGATAAATATGTCATTGTTTGTACATGATACTTTTAGAGGATCATTTAGCTATTTTTTCATATATTTTTTTCAGCAGAATCGGTCAATTCAGCCACTTCAGCGTAACTTCATAAATTTCAGCAGAATTGTATAATACAACAACAACAACATCCAAGCCTTAGTCCCAAAAGATATCGGGGTCGGCTAACATGAATCGATACATGATATCACCACCAAAAGGAAAAGAAAGAAAATAAAAATAAAAAAATAAGCTAATATAAAAAGATAATATAAAACGAGATGAATATATCTAAACATGATAAAATAAAAAGGACAAAAAATAATGTTTATATATATAAGGATAAAAGAATAAAAAACAAGAAGAAGAAAAAAAGATGAGGGGAAAAAATAATACGAGATCACTCCTCCACACGAATACCCGCCCTCCACCTTGCTCTCTCCAAAGCCATACCCTCATCCAACCCAAGAAGAAGCATATCACTTCGGACTCCCCTAACTCACGTCTGTTTGGGTCTTCCTCTCCCTCTCTTCCCTGCCTCTTCTCCACACATCTCAACACGTCTGACAGATGCATCACTCGGTCTTCTACGCGCATGACCAAACCACCGTAGGCGAGACTCCCGCATCTTTTCTTCAATAGGTGCTACTCCCACCCTTTGTCTGATTGTCTCATTTCGCATGTGGTCCTTCCTAGTATGCCCACACATCCAACACAACATGCGCATCTCTGCCACACTCATCTTTTGAATGTGACATTGTTTCACCGCCCAACACTCTACGCCATACAGCAATGCAGGCCTAATTGCTGTCCTATAAAATTTACCCTTCAGTCTAGTGGGCATACCTCTATCACATAGAAATCCTAACGCACTCTTCCACTTCATCCACCCTGTTCTGATTCTATGGGATACATCTCCATCTAGCTCACCATCCTTCTGAATTATGGAGCCCAAGTAACGGAACATATCACTGACCGGTATCTCCTTACCAAAGTAATTCCACTATTACCACTGTTTCCACCTCCACCAAACTTGCACTCCATCTACTCTGTCTTGCTCCGACTTAGTCTGAAACCCTTGTTCTCCAATGTCTGTCGCCATACTTCCAACTTTACTTTAAGACCTGATTGCGTCTCATCAATCAATACAATATCGTCAGCAAACATCATGCACCACGGTATTTCGTCTTGAATTGACTTCGTAAGTTCATCCATGACTATGACAAATAAGAAAGGGCTCAGAGCCGATCCTTGGTGCACTCCGATAGTAATAGGGAACTCCGCAGTCCTCCCTACATTAGTACAAACACTTGTAGTACAATCCTCATATATACGACCATGATGATGTTGATATATTTGCGTGATATGCCTTTTCTAATTAAGGCGCACCAAAGAACTTCTCGAGGTACCCTATCATAAGCCTTTTCTAAGTCAATGAACACCAAATGCAGATCCTTGTGAGCGTCTCTATACTTCTCCATAAGCTGCCGAAGAAGGTGAATTGCCTCAGTTGTTGAGCGACCAGGCATAAAACCGAATTGATTCTCTGAAATCTTCACAGTTCTTCGAAGTCTTTGCTCAATCACTCGCTCCCAAAGTTTCATGGTGTGACTCATAAGCTTAATCCCTCGATAGTTGGCACATTCTTGTACATCACCTTTATTCTTGAATAAGAGTACTCTTCCTCCAACTTGTCGGCATCTTGTTGTTTCTCCAAATCATGTTGAAGAAACTTGTTAACCACTCGACGCCTCTCTCTCCCAAACTTCTCCAAGCCTCGATCGGTATGCCATCTGGACCCACTGCTTTCTTCCGCCCCATCTTCCTCAGAGCCTCCTTAACTTCCGTTGTTTGGATCCTTCTCACAAAATCACGATTTACCATACAATCCGGTATGATCAAATCACCGATATGTTGCGCTTTGTTCCCGTTGAATAGTATATCAAAGTAAGACCTCCACCTCTCTTTTATCTCCCCGTCCTCCATTAGTACTCTTTGATCGACATCCTTCACACACTTAACTTTTCCTATATCTTGAGTCCTACGGTCACGAAAATGAGCAAGTCTGTAAATATCTTTTTCTCCTTCCTTAGAGTCCAATTTTGCATACAATTCTTTGTTCACTTTTCCTCTTGCTTCCTTTACATCTTTCTTTGCTCTTCTTCTAGCCTCCTTGTACTCCTCTATGTTCTCGTCGCTCCAACTTTTGCCCAATTTCTTATAGCATTCCCTTTTGATCCTTATTGCTTGTTTCACCTCATCATTCCACCAAGATGTGTCCTTTTTTGGTGGTAGACTTCCTTTAGATTCTCCAAGTATCTCTTTCGCCACTTTGTTAAAGGTAGACTCCATTGATAACCACACATCATCTACATGTGCGTCATTATCAAAGGACCATACATTTTCCTCCAACATTTTCTGCGTAAAAGTTTGTTGGAGATTCCCCTCTATCCTCCACCACTTTATCTTCAGCTCCCCTTGTACCTTAACCCTCCTTCTCTTTTTACCTTGAAAATCAAGCACAAGCATCCTATGTTGAGTGACAACACTGTCACTTATGATAACCTTACAATCGGTGTAGCTAGTTCTCCAAGTCGTCCGTACTAAAAAGTAGTCAATTTGGGTACTATTAGCTCCACTTCTATAATAATAATAAGACATTTTAGCTCTATAAAAACTTGTATAATAATAAGAAAAAATACGACTGTAGTTACATTTTAGCTGTATTGCCTATAGTTTTCTAACTGCAAACGTATCATTAGGCCCTTCTTAGGAGGTGTTTGGAACTGATTCTGCTTCTGCTTCTCTTTTAAAACACAAGCATAATCACAATCAGTTTTCAGAAGCTGGTTTCTCTCCAACTTCTAAAAACCTGATTCTGGGCGCAATTTATACGGTGGGATCGGCCCACCATGAGCATGGTGTGCTGATCCCAAAACTACGTCGTTTTTATTAATTAAAAGAAGGCAACATAAATCCATAGCAATCATCATAGATCCGAATTGAACTCTGACACCCATCATCTGCTCGAATCGCAATTGCTGTCCTCTGGTCGTCTCTCTCTATCTCCAGGTCGACGTCGTGCGCTACTCGTCGCTAGTCATGGACAGACCGCCACTCCTCACCGACGGGGATCTGCTGCCCTGTACTGGTTGCTCGCCACCTCATCTCGGTTGATGGGAGGAACGAGGCTTTTTGAAGGGATAAGAGAGTATGGGGTGTTTAAGAGAGTTACATCTCTGTAAAGGCTTTTTTACATTTCAGAATGCATAAGTTACATTTCCTAAATTACACCTGATCTGTTTTCAAGTTACATTTTAATTTAAACAATTTACATTTTAACGAGTTACATTCGAATGAGTGTGATTTACATTTTGATTAACATGAAGTTACATGGTGATTCACACGATTTACATCTCATGTAATTCTGGGAGCATGGTGCTCACCCTCACCACTCTCACGGTATATGATGTTTTCTTTTGGACTGAAATTTATTGGTCTAGTTTGGTCTGGTCTAGTCTGGTAAACGTCTGGTCTTTGTGTATTTTATAACTACGGAAGTCAAGTCTGATCTGATCTGGTCTAATCTAGTCTGTTCTGTTTTGTTCTGGAACTGAAGACAGTCAAAAGAAAACATTCTAACTCCTGAATTGTAGAAGTGAATTAGAGCACCCTAAATATTCTAAGTTTTGTGGATAGTTGGGAGTACATTATCCCACCGAACCAAGCACACTTGCCTCTATCGACACCAGCATCGCGTCACATGCAATTGGATTCAATTCTCACCCACTTCTACACATCTAATGCTGTCCTTTGCATAGTTGCATTGCAAATTTGCAGAAGAATAACTGTTTTCACTCTTGCGTTTCCCTGCAACCCTAAATTGCACCCGAGTTCTTGGAATTAGCCAACTACTAACTGAGAAGATAATAGAAGATGGTTGAAGGACGAAATTCATCAACTTCTCTGCAAGTTTTTTGCATTGGAACGGCTGATACGAAGCTTGAGGAGCTCCTATTTCTTTCCAATGCGGTCCGATCCAGCCTCAGT